GGAATAGAGCAAAAAATTAGCAAAAAAATAGCAAAAAAATGTGGTATAGGTCGCGTTTGATTGTGCTGAAGTGGCTGTGCCAGCTTAATAGACGTAATTGACAAGACGGTGCTAAATTCCCGTCCCGAACTACATTCTTGGCAGAGTGGTTAGTTAGTTAAATTAGTTAAATAAAATCATTATTTATCTCAAATAATATACAGATCAATTTCTCTCGTTTTTCATAGAATGGATTTTTATGCAATGTGATGCAACGATATCTTTAAAACTGGTTGCAAACTGGTTGCGCTTAATCAGTGCAGTATAAAGGAATACATAATATACACGATATAAAAAAAAACTTATGGCGTAAATGAAGATTTTGTTTTTATTTGTTTAATAGGTAAAAGTAAGAAGTGTGTGATTTTAAGATATCGTAGTCTTTGAAAATTTATTTTACAACTCATAAAACTAAAAACAATTAACCGTATATAACAGTTATAACATATTGCCATAAAAATATTTATTATACCATATATATGTGGGAAAAAAATGCTGCCATTTCTTATAGTGCACTTGACTTGAAAATGTACTTAACTTGAATACCGAAATAATAATAGCGATACTAAACGCTTCGACAAGGGAAACATTTTTTCTTACTTTTCCTGCATATTTTGTTGGATTTTCTGTGTACTTTATAAAGCAGCTGAACGATTCCGCTACCTGAACCTTCGAAGGCGTAAAGGCGTGCGGTATTTCTTTAAAGATTTAAATACACTATGAGAAAGAGAGAGAGAGAGAGAGAGAGAGAGAGAGAGAGAGCAAAAGAAAAAAGAGATAGATAGAAAGGAAAAAATATATATATGTGTGCGTGTGTGTGTGTGTGTGTGTGTATTGTAAGTCTGAGAAGCTCGTTTTAAAAGCCTGCTTTAAATTTTTGCAGGTCCGTACAGGTTTGCTCTTGCTCCAGAAAATATTTCTTTAGCCTGTGAACATTATTATGACTTAACAATACCGCAGTATACATACAAATTCGTCTCTAAAAACCCATATAATCGCCTGCGATTTTTTTTATGGATTGCTCTGAGAAACGTAGCCTTCAAATCTTTATCAAGTTTAAGCCTCGAGATTTTCATTTTGTCATGAATCTAATTCTTAAATATCTGGAACAAGTACAACAATGTTTCTTTCATGTATTTTTCTTTCAGATTGATACGTTTCTTGTTCTATTTAAACCTGAGAAATTTGTGACATTCTTAAGTAATCACAAAAAATTAAAAATATAGAATTATACTACTGAAAATGCATAAAAAATCTCTCTCACGTTCTTCCATGTTCAAATAGATTTTCTACAGGTCATTATATTTTGATATATAATAAAAAATAAAGTCGAAGTTAAAATTTTTCGGCGTTAACAAAACGTCCATAATTGTCTTAAATCTCAAACAGTTACGAAGATTTATAAATGCGTTCATAATGTAATTGTTCATAGTACAAAAGAAAACAAGATGGCAAGAAGAAAGTTTGTTCATATTTATATTCAAGTTTCTTTCTTATCTATAAGATGCATTAGAATACGTTCCTAAAATTCTTATATATAACTTATTTCAAATTCAATCTGTATATGTATGTATTATTTCTCTTTGACAGATTTTTCATCTTTATCAATCACCGTAATAGATTTAAAGACGCTGAGAATTTGGAAATTCTTGCAAAATATTCACGACAAAGATTCAACAGACAGATTAGATTTAGATCGGTATGACTCGTTCGACCGTCGCGACGTAAGGTGCAACCCACGTGCACACCGTGACATTCCAATCGTGACTTGCAATCTGCATTCGTAACTTCGTATCTACTCCGACCAATGCCCGATCTTTTACGCTTATAATCTCCTTTTAACGGCGTACACGGTATGAATAAGAACTCGCTAAGTAAAGCGGCTCGTTGAAAGCGCGATAATTGCAATACCGTTAGCTCATGTTTATATAATTATAGACTTTTAAAGATTTAAAGCAAATACGTTATTGTAAGCTCTGGGCTTGTATCACTGTTTGTTGACCAAACAGAAAGAAATATAATTTTTCAATATCAGATTTAATCGTTTATAAGATAAAAAGCATCGTTTGTATATTATTCATAAAGCAATGACCGTTAAATTAAAAGGTTGATAAAAGTTCTTTCCTTCCGAATGAAAGAAAGACGTCATGTTACGCGTCATGCATTCTGTAAGTTTGATCTTTGTAGTAACTAATTACATTGAGAGAAAAGTTTTTAGTATTTGTGACTATAATTACATGTTACCATAATTATGATTATTACTGTAATAATGTTAGTAATAACCATATATACGTTTTATAAACTATATTACGACTGCATTCGGAAACATCACTCGAATATTCCCGTGTATCGTTTTATCCTTGTTGTTCACCCAATGTTAAACAAGAATAAGATGATACACGAGGGTATCCAGGTGATGTTTCCGAATGTAGCCTAGGTGGAGCGATTTTTTTACCTCTTGTTGTACATATATTTTCAGAAAAGGGCGTACAATGATGAATTCTGACACATATACACACACACACGTGGAAATTTTTAAATAAATATCTAGTCCTGCTAAAAAAGAGTCGTTTCATTCATCAATATATAATAATATATATAATAATAACATAACTAATAATAATAAATATATATGTAAGAATAATTACAATTTGTAATTATTTTCAGTGATAACTGTATACGTATATTTGATAGAATTATACATATAGTTATTATTACTAACATTATAATAGTAATAACCGTAATAATGGTAACATGTAATTGAGGGATTGGCGGAATAAAGGCGGAATAAACAATTCTACTTAGGCCCTTTTTTCGGAGATTAGCGCAAATAAACAAAGAATTGATGTTGCTTACATTAGTTAAATATGAAGTATAATAGTTAAATACGTTTCGATTGTTTCGATTGTCCTATGGTGGTGAAAATGATATAATCTATGGAAAAAGTGCATAAATGATTTAAAATCATTAATGACATTTTTACCAGAGACTGAACGAAAATGGTACAACAATAATGTGTTTTCATTACAATATATTTATGTTAAAAAATCTTACGAAAACTCGTCAGATGATTGAACATTATTTCAATTTATTTTGTACAAGTAAAAGTAAAATGTATTTGCAATTCATAATCTTTTCTTCCTGTCGATTCTTATAATATTATGATCAATATTCGGAAAAAGGGACTAAGTGCATTTTTTAAATTGCAAATAACTTTTTAAATATTGATCATAATAGAGAAATATTATAATATATAACTTCTCAAAGACATTATATAAATATACATTTAATATTGTTCCCATTTGTGGTATAATAAAAAAGTAACAAGTTATTTTAATTTTTATCAAAATCAAGATTTTGTAATTAGGCCTTTATTCCGCCAATCCCTCAATTATAATCACAAATATAAAAAAAATTTCTTCAATGTATATTTAATTTATTGCAAGGTGAAAAAGAGAAAATCTATTCGGCACTACTGCTACTTGCTGCGCTCGAGTTTAAATGATTCCACTGATAAAGTGCTGATGCATGCCATCGCAATGGCTCTTCTTACATAGACAATCAGTCGTGTATTGGTGATATTGAATTCGCGATGCACCCGTGATCGCGTGCTGGCGAACGCGCATTTCGCGATGCACGAAATGAGAAGAATCGACGAAAATGCGGACGATGTCGTCGCAGACGTACTTATAAAATGTGTTTGATCGATGGAAGAGCAGGCGTTACGTTAGTATCCCGGAAGCCAAATAAATTGATCAACTTCACAAAATAAAAAAATAGAGAAAATTGGTGAAGTTACAAGCTAATCGCACACGCTCCGGTGATGAATCAAGAATCTATTTAACAAATCGGAGTTGGCTGAAAGAGACCTTATCTCGAAATCAAAACGAAAAGATCGGGGGTTCTTCTCTAACCCTCCTCCCCTCCGCGTGATGCCACACAAAAGACTCACTGAACCGCGACACGAGCGAAAATGTGTCATTACCGCGCAAATTACGATGCCGGCGCTTCCATCCTGCGTCCCCCCCGATATAATTGCCGTGAATTAGCATCGATCGATGGACAGCCTGTGGAGAGATGTCGGCGGTATATCGCGGGGACTTGTGACTACTAACACTGCAATCGCGTTTCTCGGAGCGTAAATTACATGGGGGTTTTGGAAGAGCTGAAATACTCTCTGAACAGTGCAGATTCAGAAACTAGGATTCCTCCGATATTTATTACGATTATTATAAGACTATAAAAAGTAATTTGCGCAGCCAGTTCCCTGCTCGTTGTCTGATGCAATCAGTATTTTTTGATATCGCTAGGATCAACGAATTAATTAAACACATTGAAAAATCTACAGATCGCATTGGATTTCAGTATAGAAATTTGACGCATTTTTATTCGTAATTTTTTTACTCCGTGCATTTTGATGTATGTACAGTTAAATATTAACTTGTGCACAGTAAAGGACTGGCAAACAAATCATTGTGTAAAAGTTAAACTAATAAAGATCGAAACGTCTATTTGTTAGATCGTATTAAATCGGAAATATTATACTAAGATTTGTCACATTAGGAAAAGTGTAGGCTTCCGTGCTCTTTATATTAAATTGTTTAAATTACTAGGGTTGGACCATACAGGACATAGAATTTCTAGTAATTTACTAAAACGCAAGCAATCCAGTAGGAAAGCATACATCGTGTGCCGCAGGCTTTATATAATTTTCACCTCGTGTCAAGGTACACAATCGCCAAGCGTGCTCGGTTGATCTCATTTGATTCATTCATCTCACAATTCGCGGGGCAGGCACGAAGCTTTAATCGATCGCCCCCGATTCCATCGGGATGCGAGCCACCGCGTGAATTACAGTGTCGGGCGCGACCCCGGAGAAGTGTAATAATCCTCAACGGCACGTGGCAGCCCGGCTTACGGATGATTTATGTATGTATACACGAAGATTGAAAAGTACTTACTTTGACAGCTGGCGACTCCCAGAAGGACGATTAGCAGCAGGGTCCTCGTCGACTTCATTTTCCACGGAGGTTGTTTCTGCAGCTGTCACAGCACACTTATTAAGGTTACTTCGCTCTTTCAAGAAGAGTTTCCAAGTCACTCGGAGAATCACGGCGGCCCTCCGATAAAACGAATCGACGAACTCCAAAGAACGAGAGTTACGAGAGAAAAGGAAGCCCTCGGTTCACGATTGTCCCGCTTCCTGTTCTCCTCACCTTTTATTTCTTTCCGTCTTCGCGAGACGAAACGGAGCGTGCAGGCACTTTTCGCGTTAATTTCACCATGCAGAGGCGAATAGATACCGTTCCACGACTCCCAGCGTTACGCTGGTTTCCTTCGATAACGGCACGACGACGACCGCCGCGTGCGGATTGTCTTCTCAGAGAAAAAAAAAAAGAGACCGAGGGTGAGTGGGAAAAAACTCACCCTTTACTTTTAGATTTCTATCGCCAGTGTGCGAGGACTAGGAAGAACCGTGATATTCTTTCGGCTCATGCGTGCGAACGATTGTGCCAACTAACCCTTTCACGAGAGGATTAACAAACACGCGCGGAAAATTGGCTGGCAACCGGCCAGTGTCGTCGGTTTAGATACGTGGGATGAAGCGAAGGCGACCGCACGACACAGCGGCTCACAGACGAATGCCACCGAACCGAAAGGCGAGAG